GTGTGTGTGTGTGTGTGTGTGTGTGTGTGTGTGTGTGTGTGTGTATTGTATGCGTGTGTGTTTTAGAAGCAAGAGAAGACAAAAGGAAGGGCAATGTCCTATTTGTCCCCATTAGGACCTCTGAGGGGACACAGACCTCTCGGCATCTCTGCAAGTGTTGATAGCAGAGATGCCCAGAGGTCTGTGTTGATATTATTTTATAGTATCTATTGTATGCAAAATACCTATAAAATTATATATATGTAAAATTATGTATAAAATATAAAAGTATACATATATTTATTGGTTTGTGATAACTATAGGAGATTTGCATCATTAAAAAAACTTTTAAGTTTAGGGGTACATGTGCAAATTTGTTATATAGGTAAACATGTATTATGGGGATTTGTTGTACATATTATTTCATCACCCAGGTATTAAGCCCAGTACCCGTTGGTTGTTTTTCCTGATCCTCTTCCTCCTCCCATCTGCCACCCTCTGATAGGCCCCAGTGTGTGTTGTTCCCCTCTATAAGTGAGAACATTTAGCCCCCACTTATAAGTGAGAACATGTAGTATTTGGTTTTCTATTCCTGTTTTAGTTTGCTAAGGTTAATCGCCTCCAGCTCCATCCATGTCCCCGTGAAGGACATGATCTCATTCATTTGTATGGCGGCATAGTATTCTATGGTGTGGATGTATTTTCTTTATCCAGTCTATTATTGATGGCCATTTAGGTCAATTCCATGTCTTCTTTGCATCATTTTATAATGGTCACCACCCACATATGATTTCTGTATCATGATTTTTAAATTTTTTGGTCATTCATTGAATACTTTGAGGATACAGAAATGACTAGGACATGATGCCTACTTTGGGAATACACTCCCTCTTTTTTTTTTTTTTTTGAGATAGGGTCTTGCTCTGTTGCCCAAGTGGAGTGCAGTGACATGATCTCGGCCTACTGCAACTTCCATCTCCCAGGTTCAAGCGATTCTCTTGCCTCAGCGTCCTGAGCAGCTGTGGTTATAGGCACGTGCCACCATGCCCGGCTAATTTTTTGTATTTTTAGTAGAGACAGAGTTTCACTATGTTGGTCAGACTGGTCTTAAACTTCTGACCTCAAGTGATCTGCCCACCTCAGCCTCCCAAAGTGCTGGGATTACAGGTATAAGCCACCGTGCCTGTCCCAAATTTTCAGTTCTAATGTTGACCATTGTCACAGAGATGTCATTGTATGTAGGCTCTCACAGGAATGGATTTTAAAAGTGTCAGTTCATATCGATCTTTCCAATTCTAATTTAACTTTATAGGGCTTTACATAATGTTTATGTTTGTATTTCTTTCCTCTTATATTGAAGACCTGACAATATTAGTATAATTATTTGCCTTATTTGGTAATATGTATATAAAATCATTTAAAAATAATATCAATATTGCTACTAACAGTAAAGATTTTGAATAAAGCTTAAGATTTCTTTGCAGTTCCTTTTGATCTTAGACCATAGTAGGGCACTTAAACATTAATTTTCTCTGTGGGATCATTAACCAATTTTACTGATAGTTAAGTTTATTTACTTCAGTTTGTTTTAAATTATAGGGATTGTTTTCTTTTTCCTTTTCATTTAGTTTTATGTTTTTTGAATATGCAAAACATTTGCATGTCCAAGGGTCCAGACTACATCAACTTAGACAAGTTTTGCTGTAATTCAGGAATGGTTTAGAACATTTTATGGAAGATAAGTGGGCCAGCTGACCAAAAAACACTTGTTCGTTTATGAAAAGCATAAGCTATTAGCAGTATACCCAAAAACTTTTGAGGTGATCTGATGGAAAATGGCCATATTCTCTCTACTACTTCTTGCAAAAGATATTTAGCAGAATGAATCTGACCTGAAATGATATTTCTTATTTCCTTACATATTTGACGTTTGCCCTGTTACTTGGTAAATTCAGAGAGACTGCAACACAGTCTTTTCTGTTGCTTGATAAAAGCCAGTCAGTTCCTTCTAAGAGTATACCTCAGAGAGGAAGTGGCAGTAAGATATAAGAACTGGGATTGTTTCCAAGGCTAAAATGAAACTCTGTTTAGGTGACTTGTTTTTGTCACCCCATGACATGATCTTCAGGAAGATGTTCTAGAGGACAGTGGATGATTTTGCTTATCCAGGGGACTAGCTAGGATTTTTCACTCATTGGCTACCCTGAGAAACTCAAGCCTATGATGGGACCTGTTAGGGCTTAAGGCCAATGTGCTTTTTTTTTTTTTTTGAGACGGAGTTTCACTCATGTTACCCAGGCTGGAGTGCAATGGCGCGATCTCGGCTCACCGCAACCTCCGCCTCCTGGGTTCAGGCAATTCTCCTGCCTCAGCCTCCTGAGTAGCTGGGATTACAGGCACGCACCACCATGCCCAGCTAATTTTTTGTATTTTTAGTAGAGACGGGGTTTCACCATGTTGACCAGGATGGTCTCGATCTCTTGACCTCGTGATCCACCCGCCTCGGCCTCCCAAAGTGCTGGGATTACAGGCTTGAGCCACTGCGCCCGGCCCCAGTGTGGTTTTTAAAAGCATGATGGAATAGTTTCCTTTTCCACAGTGATGGAGAACAGCATGGAGAAGAGAGGGTGAATGTTGCCAGGCCACCATTCCCACGGTTTAGATTTCAGACCTGGATTGTCATTTTGTCCCAAATAGGAGGAAAGACAATGAAATGATGATGTGACAACAAAACTGATGACAAATGCCATGAAGATGGGGCTGCTCTTTTAGGGGCCCTTCAGTCAGTCACTTGTGATGGGAGAAAAAAATTTTAAAATTGAGACAGACAATTTAGCTGTAAGACTGACCTTTCAATCCTGTGACTCACTATAGGGAAAGAATTCCAGTTGTATCTCCTAACATACCTGTCTTTCTTTTCCCATTCTTTGAAGACAAATGAGCATCACTGAAGAGTGGATTTATTAATTCCAGTTGACCATTGGTGCATTTGTTTGAATATGGACACTTTTAATTTTTATTTTATTTTGGAGATGGAGTCTCGCTCTGTTGCCCAGGCAGGAGTGCAGTGGTGCAATCTTGGCTCACTACAACCTCTGCTTCTGGGGTTCAAGCAGTTCTTGTGCTTCAGTTTCCCAAGTAGCTGGGATTATAGGCACATGCCACCACATCTAGGTAATTTTTGTATTTTTAGTGGAGAAGGAGTTGTACCATGTTGGCCAGCTGGTTTTGAACTCCTGACCTCAAGTGATCCTTCCACTTTGACCTCCTGAAGTGCTGGGATTACTGGCATAAGCCACTGCACCCGGCCTGGAAATGGACAGTGTTATAATGTGTTGTACTCCTTTAAAAATTGTATATAAGATGGGTAAAGTGAATGGAGAATGTGCAGTTAAGCTGTCCTGCTTAATGTATTTGTAATAAGTGGTGCAAATGTCCATGCGAGGAAAGGCAGAGAGAAATAAGAACATTTGTTTTGAGATAAATAGAGTGGGAAAGGTGAGGTAGCTGAAAGAAGGGGACAATTGGAAAATATAGGGCCTTTAATTTCTAGAATAGCAGAATTTGCCATATATACATACACATATATATTATATATGCCATATATATGTGCCATATATACATATATATATATATAAAATGATGCATTATCTTATGCAGCTGTGGTAGGGGACCATGAGTTTACAAAATCCCAACCTTCTTTGGGTAGGCGGGATTTGGAGCTCCAAATTACCAAATTTCATCAGAGTGAAGAATCTAAGAAAAGAATCCTAA